CCATCTGAGGAGCCTGTTGACCTTGATGAGGAGTCGGAGAGGGCGGCGGGTATCGCGCTGAATACTAATGAGGAGCTAGAGAGAGCTCGGGAGGTTTTGTTTGATTTCAACTTTGAGCAGGAGGATGAGGACTGGGGAAAGAACGTCTATATGGCTGCTATTGCAGAGTATATCGCTCGTGTACAGCCATGATAACTATGCTATGTACTCTATGCTCACCTATGATGGGCAGCACGTGTAAGCCCGAGACATCTCACAGAATCCCCATGCACTGGTGCCCACAAACAGCTTCCCAGATCCAACTTGTGCAGCTTTGGGTGCTGGCGGAGGAAGTGTGCGAAGGACTGGAACAAGCCCAGGTCATCGTCGGGCCCAACTATCATGAATCGGAGCACCTCAAGTTACGGAGGAACGTGTGCACGCCATCGATAAGTAACATGGTCGCTCCTGAGCACGAAGCTTGCCGCGCACGGCTCCTCCAATGTCGCGCGCAGCATCAGATTGGAGAGTTTGTGCGCGTGCATGATGCGCACCACGACGACGTGCGAGATGCGTGTGTTTCGAACATGTGTGTAAGAAGAGAAAACTAAGTCCTAATCATATGTACGACTATGTGGTCAGAATGCTATCGCGGTGTCTGCGCCAGTTTTGTGAACACCTTCTCATAAAGTCGCCTCCCCACAACCCCACGGCCGTGATGTCGCAAATCACCCCAATGTCGATCGGAGCAAACTGGCCCTTGACACCCTGGAGAACATCTTCCTTGATCACCTCCGAGACCAGCGCACGGAAGTCCGGTATGGGCTGCAGCGCACCCGTGTTTGCTAGCGAGGTCACTCTCGAAGGCGTGCGAGCCTTCCGGGGGCCGCGCGAGTACGCAGGCTCGTCGAAGAGCGTATGCGATCCGTCGAGGATCACGATGCGTGTGCCAGTCATAAACCTGAAATCGAGCGCGTGGCAAAGACCACCGTACAGGATGCGGAACCAACCTGCGGACTTGGAGAATTTGTCGATGAGATGGCCTTGCTGCGCTGCCTTGACGCGGATATCCTCCAGCTCGGCTACGACGGGCAGCGTCTCGCGAAGGAGGGTGACCAGTCGATGGAGGGCGGTAGAGAGCTTGCCGTGCCCGAGGAGGTTGCAGAGGTACAACTCCGCGTCTTCGTGGGGGTTGTGGATCACATCGAGTTCGTCATCGACCTGCATGAAGTCGTCGGACGGCACACGGGAGAAGCGGAGGTGGTATGAGCTGCGGTTTGTGGCGAGCTGGTCCGTGCAGGTGAGGGAGACCGAGTAGTTATCGGCGTATGCGAACTCGACGGTCTGGAGGTCGAAGGAGATGAGTCGGACATCTGTCCACAAGTACTTCGTAGACATTTGCGCAACTAAAAGACATGTCAGCGTCTGAGTCGAAGAACGCGTAAGGAAGGGCCGTACCTTCACGCGCGATGACGACCATCTTTGACACACGCGCCCACTCCTCCAAGAACTCGTCCACACACTTGTCGACGTCGTCAGACAAGAAGGACACGATCGCTTCCCGCGTATCGTAGATGATGCGTTTTGATGGTCGAATAACGGTGCTGCCGCTCGCGCGCTTCCCTATAGGCTGCTGTACATACTTCAGCTTGACACAGGTGACGACCTTCGCTGTATCGGTCGACCACCAGTTGAGAGGGATGACGCGGATATTTGGCATGGCGGCTTCCGCGGCGGGTGCACCGGACAGAATATCTGAGGACTGCACACAGAGCGCCGGGATCGTCCGCGCCAGGGAGGACTGGACGTCACCGAACTCGGAGAAGGATGACGGATTGAGCGTCGAGCTGACATGCGTGTAGGGAATGCTGCGTAGCTTGAACTGTTGCTCCACCTTGGTGTAGGCAACTCGGGCACTGGATGCAACCATATCAGGAACGAATGAAACACATCCAAGTCAGTCAATGGAACTGAGGCTCACCAGCAGTAGGCATACAGCTCCCGAAGGACATTCGTCTCCAGACGGAAGCTGGCGGGATACTGTTCCCCACTTGGCCCCACCCGTCCCATGCCGTCCTCTCGTTTCCGCTTCTGACCGGTTATGGGATCGGGTCCCATGCCTCCTTCTATCGTGACCTGGTTGCCATGTATTCGACGAACGTTGAGCCAGCCGATGTCCTCCATGACGAGGTCGTGGTTCATTGAGTGCTCGACCTCCTTCGCGCTTATAAGCGCATACCGGAAATCCTGAACGGTGATGACGAGAACGAGGTAGTGCATCGGGAAGTTGCCCAGCTGGATGTAGATATGGCCTTGGGCGTCCTGACCGAGCTTCTTGATCTCTGTGCCCGAAGGGTTGAGTCACAGGAGACACTTTGGACAGAGAAAACAAAGCGGACTCACCGTCGGCGGAGAAGTTGCGAGTCCGGTAGCTCTGCAAGCCGAGATATTGCACCTTCTGCTCCGCAAGGTCGGTGATAGTCTAAATATATACTGAGTGAGCGGGATCCGACTTCTGGGTGAACAATGACTTACAGCATTCCGCAATAAGACAAGAGCCTGCGGAAGCATGAATGGCGCGTCATTCAGTGGCTGCGTGATGGCAGCGAAGCGAGGCTCACGACTAGCGGCCGCGAGATCACCGGTGTCACGTAGGGTAAGCCGTTCCGTCCGTGGGTCGACAGTGACAATGACGACCTCGTCAGCGCAAAGGTGTATCTGCGAGGAAGGCGAGCCCTCTGCAGGGCAAATGGGTATGTCGGCGAATGCGAGCTATGTCTCTACTCTTACCGTTCGAGACAAAGACGACGTCCCCTTGCGGCGAGAAGATGTTGCGCGTCATGGCGCCACGCTGCAGCTGCGTTTGGAAGAACTTCATGACGCCTTCAGTATGCCATCGGATGACCGTCCGAAGCAGGCTCTCCATATCGAGGTCCTGGATACTGGCAGGCACACAACCAGTTAGCTCTCCACCTCTTGTCTCGAAAACCCCCAGAACTATCGGAAACAATCATGTGTGGTTGTGGACAGGAGACGTACGATTCGAAGCTGCTCAGGCGGCATGAACAGGTCTTCTAGAGCAGGGATAACGCCGAGCGCACCGTTCTCCGGCTCCCAGTGGACGTCGAAGCGCATGTGCTCAACCTCGTCCGACGGTCAAGACTCCTCGAGCTTCGAGCGCGACTGCAGCTCAGCAAGCACGCGCGCGCGCGGCAATCGAAACCCCTTGCGGCCCGTCTTCTCTTTCACTTGGACGATAGAGATGGTCAATTTTCCGCCTAACGACGGCAAGGGTCTCTGCTGTGGCGGTCGCTTCTGATTGGGAGGTGAGGATTTCGGTACCCAATACTTCATAGCCATGGTCTGGCGGTTGTTGGCCATCTTGACGGTTATGAACTCTGCCTAGCCTAATGAGCGCATGCCCTTGGCCTGCATAAAGTTAGAGTGGGCCATTGTTGGACTAGAATTCTGGTACCAACCTGATACCATAGGATCTCAAGCTGGTACGATAACGGCATCATCTCTGCCGTCGGAAAACTTGAGTTGCTTCAGGTGTTCCATGATATATGAGGAATCTTACGCAAGAAGTTGAACACGCGGACCAAAGGCGCGCCAACCACACCTTGAGGTAGCTGCGGACGTGGTGCTGGCTCAACGTCCAGCGGTGGAGGCTCGTCCAGAGGGAGATAGAATGTGTGACGCGCATCCACCTCCTCTGTGATATTACGTTTCAGTGTGCCCGAAGGCGTCCGTGGGCGCCTCGTGAGCAGAAGGATCGCTTGAAGAGTTTAGGAGCAGTGAAGAATGATCGTCCAGCACCTGCACGCCAGAGATTGTGAACAACAAAGCTACGTGCGCCAGATGCCAGCTTACCTGTTCGATATCTCCAATGGCACGATCTCCGACGTTGGGATGCGGTAGCGCGTAGCGTCCTCGATGTCACCAAATGTTCTCGCGACTTCGTTGTCCGTCAGAGTGGGGGAACGATGAGTTCCTAGAAAGCTCTGCAGTTGCATATCCGCAAATTTATGCATACCAAAGGTACCTACCTTGATACGAAATGGCGATCGGCGGTATGTGCTAGTCGCTGAAAGGTCCTGGGAGATGAGGAGGGACGAGACATGCAGGATACATAGGCGCCCCCAGCAGGAACTTAACGCCCAAATGGCCACTTCAAAACTCAGTCAGTATAGTGGGTCGGACGTGTTGTATGGACCTCAAACTGGTTTATATTCTCTTTTAAGGTATGTAAGTGTGATATAATTCAAAAATTGAAGCGGAGCCGGAGATCATACGATGTGGATAATGTCTCGAAGTTGAGCCAGGACCTGTCGCACAAGCGCCTGACCGTGACGGAACGCGACCACGACACGACGCGAGTTAGACGCGACACAACCTTCCTCTCTGTGGCCTATAGCTCAGCTTCTGACCTGCATTCAACTCATACAATATGCCTGAACAAGATATTCTGGCAGGCTCTGTGCTTCAATTTCGCGATGCGCAAGCCCGTGGCATTTTGCTCGCTGGTAAGCACAGACTCGGAAGTTCCGAAGCACTAGAGAGAAGTGGCGAAGTCAAGAAGCAATGAATCTAACCATTGGCTTCTATAGGGAACCTCGCAATATACCCTCGTGTTTTTGCTGAAGGAACAGATGTCCGGGACTATTGCACTTGTACAGTGCGCAACTTGGGATACACTCACCCGCCTCCATCACCAAACTACGTTCCGAACACTTCTGACTTGGTGAGATCTAAGGGAGAGTCCTGGATCGACTATCTCAGGCCTTTGGAGGGTGGCCAAGCACATCTTACCTTTAGAGGGAAGGAATGCTGTGTGGCAGCTGGTCCCGTATGTGCGCATTTACTTTATTCTGGCCTGCTTTCACCAATATGGTACCGATCAGCATGCCTTCAAGATACATCTTGGCCTAGAAGCCATTGGATGTCTGATCTCAAGAGCCAACTTTGACGCAATTATTGCCAACGATGTTCCTGGTCCCAACAAGAACAAGGGGAAATCTGGACGACTACGGTCATTTGTCGTACCCCCTGCAGTTGCCGTACCTGACGCACGTCTCGATAAGGACAGCCAGCTGGTCAACATCCCTTGTGCGCTCATCGGTGAAGACTTTGTATACATGATCACAGACCACTCACGCATTGTCCGCATCGAAATTTTGAGCCTCGATCGCAACTGGGAGGCCGAAGACCTTACTCCCGGTTCGAAGGTGCCGTGACATGCAGATTCCATGAGTTGTTCTTGCTAACACACCTGTTTCCTAGCTCTGGGACCAAATATGGGATGCTAATCATGGCCCCTGCTGGATTCAGGAGCAACAGCTCGCCATGCACGGCCTGCTGTCATGGC